GTTATCAACAGCGAACTCGTGCGCTGGCGTCCTTATGCATACTTCATCTCTTACATTTCATCGGGAACTTCAGCGATCATGAGAAACCGTATTGATGCTTATGCCGCGGATAATCACGAGGTTCGTGTCGCGCCTTTTTTTGCTATGAAATTTTTTTGATTTTGTATGAAACTGAATGACTTTTACAAGATCACAGCCAAAGACTATTACCGCCCTTCTTTTTTATGGTTCCCTGGTTGAAATGGAATCTTATGGAATCAGCCCCAATTGTCTTACATAGATCTAAACCCCCCCCCCCCCCCCCCCTGAAAAAAGACGAACATTTTGAGTTTGAGGGGGAAAAAAATGTTTAGTTTAGTCTAGATCCAGATCCAGATCTAGATCTAGACTCAGGCAGACAAAAGGCAAATTATGGGACCCATAAAAGACCCCCCAAAAATAGTGTAGATCTAGATTCTAGATCTAGCTCTAGATCTAGATATATACTAGATCTAGATCTAAATCTAGATCTAGATCTACTTACCAGCTATGAACACTTTCATCTCATCTAGATCGACATCTTTCCAGGACGCGAGGTAGACATTTTCCCCAACATCTGAAGCTTGCTGCTTGAAGCAGGCATAAGAATTCGTTTGTTCAACACAAGTGTTCAAAAAATTGTCGTCGATGAAAATTTGGAAAAAGTCAATTGGTTTCATTTCAACATTGACACCAGAGTTCAGTTGCGACTGTCCTTCGAAGTCTGGTAGTGGAGGTCTGTTGTTGACGGTCGGGCGAACCCATCCGTTTTCCAAATCATCGGGGTGGTCGGCATCGTGTTCTGGAGCAAAATCCAACAAACTGACACGGGCAGCATTCTGTCTTTCTCTTCCTATATCTCCATTCTCAAATCCTTCAAATTCATCATCAGAGCTGTCTTCAAAAAGGTCTATCAATTCCCGATCGTTGAAATCCATCGCTAGACCTGCATGTGAGCCTCAACCAGATTGTCTGAAAATTTTGCGCAACCCCCCCCCCCCCCCCCCCCCTAAAAAAAAGGCCTTTGTGGGTGTCATAAGGAAGGACATCCGACTAACGAGCGACCACCCCAACAAACACAATAAAGAAGAGACCTAACCCTAACCCTACCCCCAAAAAGAACCTGCAACGGGCCTCATGTAAAAAGGCCAAAACAAGTCCTAAATTTTAAAAAACTTTAAAATTAAAAAACCACACTCCAAAACAAACAAGGAGCATATAGATCTAGATTCTAGATCTATTCTAGATCTATATGGCTTACATCTACATTGCTATAGGGTTTGATACAATAACACAATAGAATTGGAATATGAATCCTCCATATAATATATAGATCTAGTAATCTAAATAAATCTAAATCTAGATCTAGATCTTGTAGAACAAGTGAATAGGAATAGGCCTTGAACTAGAAATCCGCATCCGATTCCGAACAGAGGGACTCAGTTGAGTCTAGATCTAGAATCTAGACCTAGATAGATCTAAATAAATAAATAATTCACGCACCTGATGAAATGCTTATTTTTTACCAATATTAATATTACAGCACAACCTATGCTATGATAGGGTTTGACACAATAGAATTGGAATATGAATCCTTCATTGAGGTTTATAATGATCTATATAAATCTAGATCTAGATCTAGATTCTATTAGAACAAGAGAGTCGGACTTGAATGAATCCACACGCTCTGAACAATTGAATTAGTCAACAAACGAAATTCAAAATGGCCGCTCGAGCACGAAACTGAAAGTAGATAATTTAGGTTGTCGTCCTTTTTCGTATTCGCATTTCTACTTAGGTTCCGACAATTATGTCGGAAACGCCGACGTCGGCAGTCGGCGGTGCGCGCGCCGGCGGTTGGCACGAAAACGAAAAGTGCCGACGAAGCCGACGGGAGAAAAAGGGGTCGCTGGCAGTCGGCCAAGCCTCGCACTACGCACATTGACTGATACAGGCGGGCCTAGCGATAGCATCGGCCGGTTCGCGGGTCGGGTCGCGATTGTCGGATTTCAGACGATTGTCGGCAAACATGCAGGTCTACATCGCGCACGGAACAATCACTCCAACTGCGCTCACTGAACTGACAAAAGACGCTCGATCTCCCTCCACTTTGAATGCACGCGCAATTGTCGGATGGGGGTCAATTTTTTAAAACTATGCACCAAATGAAAGGTCATCCAATCAGGATTCAGGAAAATATTTGCCCCGGGCGATTTACCGGCGATATCGACAGTAATGGACGTGTTTTCGTTAGCAACCACTAGGTTGGAAATAGTCGCGATCAGGCCTCGGGAACGCCATTTCCGGGTTGAAAATAGTCGCGTACAGGGCTGTAAGGGTTAAAACAAACAAACAAAAACAAAAAAACCCAGATCATAATGCCAGAAATGGTCAGAAAAATCAAAACTCTCAAACACTTATCCTGACCTAGAAGTAACTATCAAAAAATCTTACAATTACGTAAAAATACTCACCATCACTATCTCCACTGAAAAGAAAAAGCAGAAAGAAAACGAAATTAAATAAGGCCACAAAAAGAGGAACACAATGTGACAGAGATCAACAAGTTGCAAGAAAACCTGCTCGACACAGTATCCATAAAGGAGAAAATTACGTATTATCTTACTATACAAGAAGGCTGTGAAAAGTTAACCTACAGGAAAGGTATTTTTCATCAGCACCATTCCATGATCACCCAAATCAATTTCTGGAAGTTTCGAATTTCCAGATAAAGTCATTATTCGACTAGAGACATCAAGAGGTATCTTACAACATACTTTCCTTTCCAACGTTTAAGTGAAAAAAGTAAGGGCCCAAGTAAAGGTGTTGATTTCTGCAGACTTCTATTCTTTTTATCAAAACTTTCATTAACATTTTTTTTAAAGTCTAAGGTGTTTGTAAAGATACTGATGAATGTCCCTCTGACCACAGCACCCGGTCTGATTCCTTGTCCACAGACACGAACTCAAGAGCAGGACAGGGGATGTAAAAATAAATACCCTTCTGCCAAAACGACAATAGGTTACAACTCTGCATGGGGGCTGCTACTCATCAATCACGACCCCTGTCTCAAGGATGGGATATTTTTCTGCCAAAACGACAATAGGTTGCAAATCTGCATGAGGGCTGCTACTCATCAATCACGACCCCTGTCTCAAGGATGGGATATTTTTCTATGTCCTGCCTTTTCTGTCTCTCACACATGTCACTTTGACCGCAAGTCCCAGCAAAAATACACATTTCCTTATGTATCATTCAGTACGTGCGATCATTAAAGTAAAACGGCTCAACTCCTTACCCTGGAGAGCCTCCTGGCTTGGGCGTCTCACACTTCTGACAGACCTTGCGGAAGGAAAAGTTGTTGTTTCCACAAGACCTGAGGATTTCAATTAACAATTTTTAATGACTTTTTAAACTCTTAGCCGCCTCTACCTCAACAGCTCAAAGTTAACTCAAGACTTAAGTCAGACATTAAAAGTTCAATTATCACCAAGGAGATCACTTTACAAACACATACATATTTTATACAATGGTGAGCCTTCAGAAGATTAGATCATTTTTATTTTAGTAAGAGTTTTACAACACTAGATGACAAATAGGTTATATATGTGTCAAATATAAGGGGTGTTGCTAAAAAGTAACACACAAAGACAAGAAGGAGGAGCAACAAGGACGACAGATGTTTGATAAGAAAGAAGGAACAAACTAAACCAGAGTATCTGCAAACCAACCACACAAAAAGTTTAATGGATAATTATTGCCCCAGGATGAGGACAGAAATTGTTCAACATCCAAGATCAAACCACAAATACAGATGCAATGAAGTCAACATACATACACAAAGCTAAAAAGTACCACACACAAAAAAACCCAACCATCAAAGACATACAGTACAACACAGATAGCTTGAATTCGCCGGGACCGGCCTTGGTAGTTCGAGAGATAACTTACAAAGACAAAAAAGAAGAAAAAAAAAACCGGAACCACAGGCACAGTTCGACAGATGCGCGATTTCGAGTCTTCTGTGTTCAAACCTATCCCGTGTTATACTGTAATTTGCTACTTGACTGAACAACCAAGACAAACAACTTACGCATCAGGACAAGTCCACTCTCCCTCTCTCCTTTCACGGCCGCCACCGCCGACAAACGACAACGTTGACGACAACAAACCACCACCACTACAACTACCCCCACCATCATCACCACAACCACGGCCGCCACCGCCGCCACCACCACCACTATCACCGCTGTCATTCCTTCTGCCAAAGCCGCCGCCACCACCACCACCACCACCACCACCAAAGCCTCCCCCACTGCCGCCGCCAAATCCTCCAGGGACAGAAAACAGAATGAGATTTGAAACAAAAATACAAAAAATTTTACGACACTTTGTAAAAAAAAAAAAGAAATGAATAAAAAAGATGTTATGAAACACCCAGTTCTTTCATTACACAAAACTAGCAGTGTTTTTCAACAAAAGAAACTTGTTCGAGGACAAAAAACTTCTCACGACTCGGTAACATGCCTCATACAAAAACAAAAAAATTCTTTAAATTTAGATCCTCAAAGCATGCAAGCACACATAGACTTGGCTTTTAACTTTATCTCGAAAGGGGTTGTTAAACCCACTACGCTGGGGGCCCTTTTTTGGTACAAAATCTAAAAACGACAAAAAACGTCACTAAATGGAAACCTGCCAACCTATTATGACAGTACTTTATCTAATGAATGAACTTCCAGTAAAAGAAACCTGTTTTTGGCAATTGCCGAAAAGTAACTTGATGTCGAAGTCGTCGTTAAGGAATGTGCCCGAGCCAGGGGTTCCGACCCAAGCTGCTGGGAGTGGCTTGCCAAAGATAAAAGAGTTAACTCTATCATAATTCTTTCCCAGCAAAAAAAGGGCACTTTACATTCCCCCTCACTTCCAATTAAATTCCCGTAAACACAGCATTAAAATGCAAAATATAATCACGCTTAATAGGTAACTATAGTTAGCAATGGACAAAACTACAATTGACCTTTCGGCTTCAATCTCACTGATCTCTTTGTAAATTCTCGGAAGTTTATAAGATTACAGCATAGGCTGTAGAAATATACAATACGTATTTTTTAACACAAAACCAGACTTGTATTTTCCAACACAAAACCAGACTTCCATACTCAGGCCCTCAAAAACGTATTAAACACATTTTAACGTACTGGTTAGCAGCTATGCCAACCAATTCCTTACCTGATCGTCCAAAGCCACTACCTCCACCTCCACTGCTTGAACCGCTGCAGAAAAGAAATACAGAAAACAGTAGGAAAACAATGGTATTGTTCTGTTTGCCTCCAAACACACAAACAGCCCACAAATTTTAGCAGTAACATCAGCTTCAATCCAAGACAACACTTACATATTTTCTATTACACAACTTTTTTATATCTTACACTAATCTACTGTTTAAAAAATAAAACAAAGTTTACCACTGAAGGGAGAATCTGTTTTCTGCTCGCAAATATAAATAAAACTCAAAATAATTTGCTTCACATTTTTTTTTCTTCCTACCATTTTTTTAGCAGCCAATAATTTGAATTTTTTCCCCACTTTATGACACAGAAAACTTGGGAACTATCGAAACTCGCTGAGTTATCTCTTTCCCACAACAGACACACTGGTGAACTTTGCTTACCCATCATCTGGCTTTGCTACGTCACATTTAAAACAGTTTCTTCTATATGCAAAGTTGTTAGCACCACAATCCCTGAAGAGAAAAAAGAAATTTAGAAATGGTTATGCAAACTATCACTATCACAGAATCCGATAAAAGCCCCAAAACACAACACAATAATGATGAAAGACAGGTCCTGGCAGAACAGGCAACTTTATAAAACATTTGGTTCGAAGCAAAACAATCAACTAGCAATAAAACCAGAACAAACAACCCAACATAGCCATTATATCCCATTCATGAGAACTTTTTTTAAAAAGTTGTCCTTCACATCTGATTTCACAGATTCCCAAAACAAACATTTTTGTCTTTTCGCCTCCATGATGGCCGATGGGGGAAAGGAAATAAATGTTTACATTAATTCTTAAAATAAATTAATTATTGAATTAATTTAAAAAACATCCATTCTTATTACAGAGACAAAACAAGCACCCAAAGTGTGACAGTCAAGCTCTTTGGCTTCACACACAAAAGGCGTGAGTTCGACCATGCACATTCTGTTTCATCTGCTGGGATGTTGTACCCCACCCGCCCTAGGTCGGAGACAGCGCGTCGACCTAAATAACCTAAATTGTAATGAAGGGTCCGCAACACATTTACAATCACACAGACGACACTGGACACTCACCCATCAGGACAGGTCCAATCATCCGCTCTTTTCTCTCGACCTCCACCACCACCACCAAATCCTCCTGTGCCAGACAGAGAAAAATACATTTTGAGAGAGAGAGAAAGAGAGAGAGAGAGAGAGGGAGGGAGGGAGGGAGGGAGAGAGGGGGAGAGAGAGAGAGAGAGA